AACATTTGATTAAAACATATGATTAAAACATTTGATTAACAAGGCAGACAATAACAGTACTTTCAAGTGTCATTAAGAAAGTGATTAGCAATACTTCTTTTAAATGAAAGATATGACGAACCAAAAAAATCCAAGTCTATTTCTATACTGTTAGCACTCCTAGCCAATCATGTTGATGGACTATAAAAGTCGTAATTTTGTCTATGGTGTCTAATAAAAAAAGTTTCAATAGCTCTGGTTGCACTATTAATTTTAAGACCAATTTTTAATAAAATATCAGGAGAATATATTGACCCAGACAAAAGTTTGAATAGGAAGCATAGATCTAATTGAATTTTCCGGTTCTGCAAAGTTGTGATCTCTAATCTGGAATATAGGTTAGCATAATCATAATTATTTATACGCATTCCTAATTTATATGCTGAGCATCTCAGAAACTTATGTTGAACCGTTTCAAGTCTATTAATGTGAATGCAATAATAAGGGTTTCAGACAACAGCTGCATATTCCATATTAGAACGAACAAGAGTGCAGTAAAGAATTTTAAAAGAATTTATTGAGAGACCATTAGAGATTCTTTGTATATAACCCAACAACTTTCTGGCTTTTAATGGTATCATTGTAATGTGTTCTGAAAAAGTAAGTTTTTCATCAAACATTACGCCAAGGTCCTTCATTTGGGTTACCAATTCAAGATCTAATGAATTGATACAATAAGTATAGTCTATAATGGTATGGCACCTATTAAACTTAATATAAAAACATTTACTTAAATTCAAATTCATACAATTTACCACAATGCTAGGTTGTTAATATCAGTCTGTAAATCAAAACAATCAGATGATATACTTTCAACAATTTTAAAGATTTTTAAATCATCTGCAAATAGTAGGAACTGAGACTTTTTTATACAACATGCAATGTCATTTACAAATAGATTAAAAAGAAGAGGACCACAATGGGATCCTTGAGGAACACCAGACAATACTTCAATCAAATAAGAAATGTGATTCCCAATTTTGACCCACTGATACCTACCAATTAAAAAACGAGATAGCCAATTTAAAAGTTTACCATTGATACCATATGAGCTCAACTTGGCGATCAACAATTCATGGTTAACTCTATCGAATGCTTTTGAGAAGTCAGTATAGACAGAATGTACTTGATAACCCCCTTCAAAAGCACTCAATATTTCATTTTGATAACTTAACAAGGCAGTTACTGTAGATTTTCCTTGTGAAAAACCATTTTGTTGATCAATTATTAGCCCTTTACATTCCCATGACAAATATTATGTAATGAGTGAATCTAAAATTTTTGGAATGTTAGATTGCAAACATATTCCTCTGTAATTTTTAATGTCACGATTACATCCCGATTTATAAATTGGTCTTATAAAACTGTATTTCCAAAAATTCGGAAATACTCCTGAATCAAGTGAAATATTGTAAATAATAGAAATAGGAGTACTAACAGTACAGACACACCTCTTTAAAAAGTAAGATGGACTCCACCTGGTCCACAAGAGAAAATGTCTTTTAATTGAGAATTTTAGAAAAAACTTCACTCAAGGTCACTTTTACATTTACGTTAATGGTTTTCTCATAGTTTAATACAGGTACATCACAATCAGTCTTGACATAAAACTGTAGATAAATTATCAGCAAATAAATTTACAGTATCACAGCCATTATTACTAATTTTATTATTTAGATACATTTCATTCGGAAATTCACCCCTTGATTTATCTTTAGCAAAGCGCCAAAATGATTTAGGGTCTGTCGATATATTGTTCTCAACCCTTGCAATATATTGTTGGTAACATTCATCAGTTAGTGTTTTGCATGTTATTCTTAAGTTAGAGAATAATAAATAATCATTATTATTTCTGGTTTGCGAGATTACCTTTTTTTAATAACCATGAAGTCTTCTGTTCCTTTTGATTGAATTTCGTGGTGTCAGATTATCGAGTTTTTAAACATAGTAATGGATTTGGATTTAGTGTTGTTGGGGGTAATAAACCACAATAAATATTGCGAATTTGCAGATATTTTTTGGAATACGAAAACTTGATACTTGCATCTGTAAGTCCGCAGATCTGGAAAGTTGTCGCCATATTTGCAGATCTGCAAAAGTTGCCGCCATATTTGCACATCTGTAAAGTTACAGATGTTCTGTAATCTCACCCATAATCTATCATAGGGTCGTTGGATTTGAAACTCGATGGAGCAAGAGTCGAAGAGATAAAAGCACTGCATACAAGATTGTATCGTTTGACAAATGATTGGACAGACCATATAGACTATAGAGGGACAAACTCTACGGAAACAATCTAATGCTTAACACATTTAAGCCTTGGTTTCTTTGAACACTCCGTCGCGGTGAACGGACAGTCCGTCGACCGCTGAGGACAGCAATTTTCACCCGAGGTAGTTTGTTAAAAAATATAGAAAATGATACTTTCTCTATGTCTGTACGTGCTGTTTATGTATTATGAATGTAAACGAAAGGTACTAAAATGGATGCAAATAAATTGTTTGCGTTGTTATTATTGTTGGAAGAGGAAGAACAAGAGGAACTGGCAATTGCAACCGTCAAAGTTTCCAATAAGCCAGTGGTTGTTTTTGTGTCGCGATACAGAAGGTGCCTTTAATATCACTGTGCAGCGGAGGCTTTTTGGAAATGAAACCAAATTTAGGGAGTATTTTAGACTTTCTACAGATCTTTTTGAATTCGTGTTGAGTTTTATAAAGGACATAATTTCCAAGAAACCTAAAAATAAAGTCATGATGTCATCTGTATTGTGAATTTATCACTCATTGTTTTAAAATTAATAACAATATAGTCTCCGCACACGCCGACGATTCCGCTGATATCAAACTCAACAGATATCAACCGGCTCTTCGCGACAAATCAGCGGCATGATGCCGTCCTGCTCAGCTAAGCGGATTCAAGAAAACCATTTCCATTTAAATACTCTGGTTGGATAATATCGTTAAAACGCGACGAAGTGTTCAAAGAAACCAAGGCTTAACGGACTTGCCAAATTGGTCGCCAACCTCAACAGAGGAATGAAGTTTACACAAAAACACTACATTCGTTAAATAATTTATAATATATCAATAAATAAATATAAAATGTTGTAAATATAATAAACTAAATATAAAATTTACAAGCGGGATTGTAAAAAAAAATTCACAATTTCGAGATTATTTCGATCTTTGATTCTATGAGGTAACATAAATTAATTATAATAATACAGTTTGTCCCAGATACATGTATCAGTAAGAAGCGTTAGCTTTTAGTTTTATACTGTTAAATACTGGCGATAAATTGTTTATTATTTGTATTTTAAAAAGTAAATTATTACTATTAAATCATTTAAAAATTAAAAATGTATTTGGGAGAAATATATATAAAAAAAATCAAACTTAATTGATTAGAAATATTAATACTGCAGTTACATAACTTTTAATGTCAATTAATATGAATCAAAACGATTTTAACATTAATGCATTTTCTTTTAAATATATAGACTAGTTGATATATACGTAATTTCAAATATCACAACATTCAAGTGTTCACTAAAAAAATAAATCACTATTGGGTCATTATACATACTAATAGTGTATTCACAAACAAAAATATCATACTTTTTGAGAAATGTAAACCATACATAACAAAAAGATTGTACTTTCAACAAATTTTCTCTTTTTAGATTTAAATCTGTCACTCTTATTTTTGAACTATCCAATTTTATTTATGTATGGTCTTCACTCGCCTACCAATACTACAAACATTTGGTCCTAAAAATACAGGATGATCCATTGATCTGTTTATGTTCTTTGATCAACTATCACTGCAGTTGTCAAAATATTGGGAATCATCCTATAAAAGTATTCTAATTTTCAATATGTATCTACAACAGCATTTAATGAAGCTGCCAGGATCAGTAATATAAAAATTATTCACATGTAGTAGTTTTACTTAATATGTGCAAGGTTTTTGTGAGTTTCCTACTGTTTAGATGTGTGCAAACTCTGAAATACATCTAAAAATTGGTTTTATTTTGACTTTTCAACAAATAAGTTACACAAAAACACTGGGCCCTCACTAGTTATGAATCAGTTATTCAATGCAGGCGACAAATTTATGGGAGGAGACCAAAGAATGAAATTTAAATCCCTATTAATATTGCAAAGAAAACCTGTCACACATAGTGATTTGGTCATTTATAAGTCAAATTTTTATTAATTTATTAACACAAGACACAGTTTCATTAATATTAATCAATTTTAAATTAATTTTATAGCTAAAACAAGGTAGAATTGAATTCTACTGAATATTTAATGGTATTCAATTTTTTTGTTTATTACAATTTTACATATACTATTTCGTCTCCTATCTGATGGGATTACCTATTGTGGTAAGGTGGTTAATCATTGATTTAGAATAAATGTTTATTTTTGTATACTTTCTAGCATGTGCAAGCATTTAATTGTTGTCGTAAATAAACTTGCGGCATTATACAGGGTGGTTCAGTTTATATCGTAGAGATTTTACCAGCAGAAATTGAAAAAGGTACTTTGTCAAATAAACTATGATCTAATACTTTACATGTTAGGTTGTTAAATTTTAAAAAAAGTGTTTATAAATATTTAAAAAGGCTTCGATATATTTTAATGAAATTTTCAGTTTATTGACAACTTAGAAGGTGTCTTTCGGACATGTAACTCCAGAAACGTACTCCCAGTGGGTGTTCTGTGCACTTCGATTAGTTTTCGGAACAAGAAAATATATCGCTCATTAGATTTTTGGAATTTTTCATATTTTTTAAATAAACTACTAAAAATACAACCATTTGTGTCCATTTTTTTTTTGTTATATTTTTTTGAGGTAAAAATTCGTACGTCTCTGAACCTGCCAAGACAAAAGAAAAAGAATGCAAAATTAACTCAAAGTTTATTGGACACAGTACCTTTATTTTTCGAAAAACTTTCAGCTGGTGAAATCCTGACGATACAAAACTTGCACATTATTATATTATAAAGGGTGTCCCATAATATTTTGTTGTTTTTAGAGAGCGCTAGTTTGGCGACGTTAAATATAAGTGCGACTCTGAATTTGCCAGGTCGAGGAAGGTTGCGGGTTATTTAGTAACAATACCTGGTTTCAGAAAGATGGTGCCACAGCCCGCACCGTCAGATCTTTGGCAACGCTACTAGATATTTTTTCAAAGTGGGGTGACATACGTTGGCCCCAAGAAGTCCTGATCTAACTCCCCTGGATACCTTCCTAGACATAGAAGGAGCTTTTGACAACACGCCACACGAATCTGTAAAAAGAGCACTTGCATACAGAGGAGTAGATAACATCACATCCAGATGGATGGCTCAGCTGTTATCTACGAGAACTGCAGACACATATAGGGCAGGACACCATCTCTATCTGCACAACCAGAGGATGTACACAAGGAGGAGTTCTATCCCCACTAATGTGATAGATATAGAATGGAAAAATGAACTCAAATATCTAGGTCTAACCCTGGACAACAAACTTCTCTGGAACATATATGAGAAGGAAGTAGTAAATAAGGCCACAAAAGCCCTAATGGTATGCAGAAACATTGCGGGTAAACGAAGGGGATGTAACCCGAACACACTGCGATGGATGTATACTGCAATAGTGAGACCAATCATCACTTACCGGAGCTATAGCCTGGAGTAACAAAACTAGTTTAACTACTACGAGAGCTAATATCTCAAAACGTACAAAAACTAGCCTATGTTTGCAATACTGGTGCAATGAGAACCTGCCTACAGCCGCAATGAAGGTGATCTTAATCCGCACGCCTCTACATTTGATGATAGAGAATGTGGCAAAAAGAACACGATATAAAATAATCAGAAATAGAGTAATCAGACGAAAGTCTATTTGCTTCAAGACTAAAGATACCTGGGACATGCCCCAGGATGAAATGCTAAAGAAGTACAGTTTTGTGAAAAACTTCAAAACCACAGAGCTGGGCTGCAAGAAAGAATGGAGCCAAGAATCCATCGCGCTTGCAACCGAAAGACGTGCTATTCAGTGGTATACGGACGGTACCAAAACCATAGAAGGAACTGGAATAGGAGTGTATGGGCCAAGAACCAAGCACTCCGAAAACTTGAGAAAATACCCAAAGCATCTTCCAGGCGGAAATTCACGCCATCGAGAAGTGTATCCAGTTCAACATCGAGAGAAACTATCATAGGCAAGAGATTATCATCATGTCCGATAGTCAAGTAGCCATCAAAGTGCTGAGCTCTTACGTAATCAGCTCAAAAATGGTCTGGAGATGCCTAGAACAATTGAATGAGCTAGGCGAGAAAAATAGAGTTACTCTCACTTGGGTCCCGGGACATAACGAGTAAGGGTAACGAGATTGCAGATAGTCTTGCAAGGAAAGGGGCTTAAACACCCTTTGTAGGACCTGAGCCGTTCTGCGGTATCAGCAGTAACATATTAGGAGAGCTTAAAAAAGAATTGGGCAGTAGAAGAACCGATAATTGGAACAATCTCTTGGGTCTGAGACAGGCCAAGATACTTATGGGTGAATATAACCAGAAAAGATCGGAAGCCTGCATCTGCCTGAGCAAGAACAGGCTACGTAACAGGGATCCTTACTTGCCGACTAAAAAGACAACTAAGTAAACTGAGAGTAGTACAGGATAGTGAGTGCAGATTATGTGAGGACGAAACCTCCATTCACATCCTAACTGAATGTGTAGCACTCCAGAATCCAAGGGCACTATATCTAGGAGGATATCAAATAGAAGAGGGAGATTTACCTAACGAAGCCACTCCAAATCCTACACTTCCTTAAGGAAATAGGATTGGAAGGGTCGTTATAGGCATTGAGACATTTTCTTGGTGCATTGGCGACAGAAGGGAGCAGAATAGATCTTTTAGGTCGCAGTGTATTAACACCCCATTCCCAACATAACATAACTCCCCTGGATTGTTTTGTAGGGCTATCTAAAATCCAAGGTGTACGAAACACCATCACGCACTCTGGGGACCTTCAAATTGCGAATTCAGGCTAAAATGCTATTCCAGAGGAAATAATACGAGCTGTTTATTACAATTCAAGGTCCAGACTTCAAGAATGTGTGAAAGGAGAAGGAAGACATCTGGAGAACATTGTTTTTAAGAAATTAAAATCCGCGTTTATTATTAACATTGTCACATTATATTTAATATATTTTAGGCAAAATCATTTGTTTTATTTCAGTTAAAAAACAGCAAAAAATTATGGGATACCCTATATTAATCATTAATTTTCACGAAATTGTTCGAAGCTACCAAAATAAAAAAATATAGAAGAGCGTTTAGAAATTGCACCTATAGACTTGGTAATAATCCAAAGTAAATCGGCCGACCATCAAAAACGCAAAGGAACCTAATAATAGTTGAGGGGAACAACACGTACAGTTGGTAGAAAACCAAGAGACATTGAAGCGTATCTCTGTATTACCTACATATTATTTATTACGTTCCTTACCGATATGCGTTGTATTATCAATAACCAAACCTATATTTCAGGAATAATTTGAGTCGCAAGTCAAATTAAATTGCATAGTTGCAACTAATGCCTACTACATTCCTTCGCAAAATATCGTTTGAAATATACGATTCGCTGTCAACGTACTTTTCTTTAACCTGGCAATTATTTAAAAAAAAAACCTTTAAGCTGCTATCAATCTCGCGTTAATCTGTGCTTCTTCTATTATCATATTAATATCATCTCGTTCAGCTTGTTCTGCTTCTTCCAACCACTGCGTGATTTCTGGAGCATACATGTGATGTTGAAGTACTTCTCTAGTTCTTCTTCGGCGTCCTATATAAGCAACAACGCCCTAAAAATGCGAAAATACAATTTTAATTAAATATATTTCTACAATTTAAAAAAATTTAAAAATAGAATATATCAAGAACTAGTTAAAATAGATTTTTGTATCCATTAATTGAAGTTTTTAGAGAAAATCTGTCTATAACGAAGCCTACAAAAGCATTGAATTATTTCGCAAAAATAGAAAATCACAAATAATTTAAAGTAATGCCATCTGCACTTGTTTTGTATGGCATATGGCTTGATGATTTATTTTCAATTTTATTTTACGTTTTGATCACATTTGAGTTATTATTATTTTCCTTTTTTAAAAATTAACCATCTGTCTTTGGTTTCACCTAATTTTTAAACTGGGTACTAAACCAATCTTTGATTTTGCTAACTTTAAATTCTTTGTGATTTCCTATTCATACATATAGATGAGATAATTTAATACTTCTGCAGACTTCATTATTAGAGACTGTAATAGAGAATGTCTGAATGAATTTAGCTGACGAGTCCTAATAAGGACGAAACCGGTCCAAGATTGCCGTTCCCCTTAGTAAGCAAAATCAAAGTTAGAGCGTTGAAAATTATTTTCTATCTCTGATGTTTTACTTTAGATACAAGTCAATGCTTGTTGCGGTATTATCCAAAGGAGTAGTTGTTTTCCGAAAGGAAACGGCAAATGGTTTAATTTTGTGTCACTAATGGCTTCTTGATTTATTTTCAACTTAATTTTAAATATGTCGTATCTTGGGCATTTTGGGCGTCACCGTCAGACATTGTTATGACAAAACACTACATTTAACACATGTAAAACTTGTTAATGCAATATAGAACAATACACAATGTTGACAACACTTTAAACGACGTTACACAAGTAATTATTAAAGACATATTATATTATGTGTTGATCTACTTACCCCAACTACGAAGTCTGTTTGGAGATTTTCCAACAATCTCACGTCTTGAACTTGTAATTGCAAAGAATTCCAATCCACTATAACTTCTTCGTGAAGCATCAGTTCCTCTAAAATAGAAATACAGAGTCAAGACTAATGAGAGGATAAAGATAAATAAACAATTCCTAACAGAACTGAACCCACCACTTGTTAAGGTACCTATACTGGGTTAATCAGAACTTTGGGATCAAAGGTGCAATAACGGAAGACATTTGAGTACAAGAACACATTCGAAAATATCTATCTGAGACGCTACGGTCCTATGCTGCTCTAAGTCAATTATGTGAAAAACGTATTTGAAGTTCAAGGACGTCCTTTTGAATAATTACTGTAATGTTATTATATACAAAAATAAATACTTTAACGTTTGATCAAACACATTTTTTCACATAACCGACTTAAAGCGTGATATTACCGTAGAGAGACATTTTCACACGCGAATTCTTGTACTTAAATGTCTTCTATTACTGCACTGAATAACCTCTAAACGTTTGATCCCATAGTTCTGATTCACCCTGTAATGGTTTGATGAAGAATAAGAAGAATATTAAATCGACCGATATAAATCAAATTTGTTATACCGTACGTTCACCGACGCATCCAGCAAAATAAAGATGAGATGCTTAATTATATTTAGATGTAAGAGGTTTAAAGAGAGTAATTTGGTTTAACTAAGCCCTATCGATTTTACGGTCCTCAGTCGGCGATCTACAGGTAGTTAATGTACTGCATAAAATACAAACGTTAATTTGGACTTCCTATTGTCGAATAAAGGAAGTCCTGATGAAATTAATGTACTGTTTTTAAAATACTGTTTCGAAAATATTGCTAAGCCATTGATAAATATAATAAATTCCTCGTTAGAGACTAATACTGTTCCAGACGATCTAAAAATTTCAATAATAACACCAATAGCTAAGGTTGAGAATTCAAATAGGGCAGTGGACTTACGTCCTATTAATATGTTATGTACAGTAGAAAAAATTTTAGAGAAAGTAGTATATAATCAACTTATTGAATATTTGGAAGAAAATAATATGTTTAATAGTAATCAATCAGGATTTCGGGGTAAACACAGCTGCGAGACTGCACTACAATATGTATTAAATGACTGGAAACAGAATCTTGACAACAAGTTAATTACAGGTGCTCTTTTTTTAGACCTACAAAGAGCATTTGAAACGGTAAATCGATCTCTACTGATTAAAAAGTTAAAAAGTTTTGGTATTATTGAAAATTCACTAGAATGGCTTATAAATTACCTGGACAATAGAAAACAAAAATTAAGGTTTAAAAACATTTTATCAAAAGAACAAAAAAATGAATTAGGCGTACCACAGGGGAGTGTATTGGGCCCACTATTGTTCCTTCTATATATTGATGATATTTCTCAAGTTGCAGGTGGTTGCTCCATACATATGTTTGCAGATGATACTCTGCTGTATTATTCTGCTAATAATTTGCAGGAAGTAACCGCTACTATAAATACCACATTAAAGCAAATATATTATTGGTGTTGTTTTAATTCGTTAAAAGTAAATATTAACAAAACTAAATTTATGATTATCGGGAATGTTAGGTATTACAATGAATTTACTGAAAATAATATGAAAATTAGTATTGAAAATGATGTCATTGAAGTCGTAAAAAAAATTAAATATCTGGGAGAAATAGTAGACCATATGTTGTTTTTTAAAGATCATGCAAACTATATCATTAAAACAGTAGCGTTTAAAGTCAACTACTTATACCGGTGCTCAAAATACATTAATAAATGGTCATTGATTCTTTTATATAACAGTATAGTTTTGCCTCATTTCACTTATTGTGCCACCATTATGTATTTACTTAATCAGAATGAAACCAACAGACTTCAGAAATTACAAAATAGAGCAATGAGGATATTATTGTCATGTGATAGAAGGACCAATATATTAGGTATGTTACAAAATTTGAAATGGCTTTCTGTTAAAAACTATTTTCTGTACTTAACTTTAATATTCATTTATAAAATTAAACATGGACTGGTCCCCTCCTATTTACTTGATAAAATCAATTACAACTTTGACTATCATAACTATAACACAAGAAATAGATCTAATTTTCATATTCCACAAGTTGCACGTAAACAGTCCCAAAATTCAATATTTTTTAAGGGACTTCAAGCTTTTAATGAGATACCCTTAGAACTCCGAAATGTCGCCTCATTTAATACCTTTAAATATAAACTAAGAGATTATATGTTAACGAGCCAGCATCTGTGATATTTTAGTGTTATATTTTAGATATAGATAAATATTTTTTGTAATTTTATTTATTTGTAATGTACTATTAGCTTTGCTAAATAAACGAGATATATATTGTTTTAGATTAAATTACCAAAGAGGGGTAAACCCTAATTAAAATGTTCCGTGGGACATTAACGAAAGTAGGAGTATATAATTTATTTTTAAAGTACTGGATCATTAGATGTTCAGAAAGTCTAGCTAGCCACTCCGGGTATGAACGAACAATCACAATTTAATGCAGATCGTAGATGTTTGAAGTTGGACCGAGTACCGATCAGCTAGTCACTCCGACCAGTACTGCATAATGGAGGTAACGTCAGAAGAGCAGATAGTACCAAGATAAAAACGAAAGAGAGAGATTTATGGTCTTCAGAAGAGAAGTAAATCACTATATAAAGATCCAATTTATTTTATTTTAGCTCAAGAGTAATCAAGATAAAATCGCTAAAAGAAATGTTTTTTACGTTACAAATCAGTATGAGCTATTTAAATGCGCATTAACAATAAAAAAGGCACTTACCATCTTTTTTTGATGTCTGCTGCTTGTACTGTATTCTGAATCTGAACGCCTCCAACACCGAGGCCACAACTATGGTCAACACAACCATCGTAAACAGGTAAAACAACATGAAGTACAACCTGGAAAATTTGTTTGTAACAGATGCATAAGCGTCCATTACGATAAACCAATTATTGACTACTGTCAATTCGAAAAGAGTCACTCCAGATATCAGCAAGTTGGAAAAATTGTTAAGGTAATAATAACCTATGCCACTAGAAGTGCCATTGGATTTGTAGAAATCTTCCACAGTTGTATTACTAAAAATAGCACAAATAAATATATTATTTATTTTGTCATTTAGTTGGTACTGTTCGCGCCAGCTATGATGAGGCTGCGCAGATCTTGAAAGCCGTTCGCAAATCTGTATAGTCAGTAACGTAGCGAGACAAAAGTGTTTAAAATATTATGAGTAGAAAAAAGGGCGCGTTTACTAATGGTGAAAACTAAAATAACAGGCAAGGATCTTTAAATGACATTGTTATTTATAATTACAATTTTTACTTTTAAATTAAATATACAGGTACGAAATTTTCAACACGGAAAGTATATCTTACAAATTTAATAGGGCGAAGTCGTATCAACAATAGTGATACGACTTCGACTTCTGCTCGCTTCACTACATACATCAGACACAGATGTATGGGTGACGAGCGACAGCGGTTTCTGTCTGATTTGTTTATGTTCCTATTATACCTTGTTCAACTCATTGTAAGGTATCATTTCCATGTTAAAATTTCCGTACATGTATGTAATAAATGGGAAAGGAATAATTTGTTGGTGAAATAATAATTACAGAAGGGAAACAGTAAACAAGGATTTTCGATGAGAACACAGAAAATCGGAAAGTTTTGATTAAAAAACCTGAAGTAAAGATTTTAAGAATAATGTATTTAAGTTTTAGGAACCAACAGATTTATTGTATTCGTTTAAGAGACATATACGTTTTCAAAAAGTTGGACTACAAAAGACTTATTTATACACCATTTCGAATGGCCAACGATGAATAAGAGCCTCGTTCCCGGAGCCGATCCCGAACGTATTCTGAACGGTAAAGTAAACCATACACGCCTGCATACACATTTAAACAATACAAAACCAGTTATAATATGCAGTGTAATTTTTACCTTAGCGTTTGGAATCTGTACAGGATTATCGCGAAAAAAGTGATAAGTGCATATGGAGGTAAAATGGGATTTATTCAAATCGCAAAAAAAAGTTATGATTATAATTCCAAAATGAATTCAACTAATTTTGGCAAATTGTTTTCGATCATGCATCCAATCATTATGTGCAGATTAATACTGCACTTAATAGTTATTCAGGGAAAAATAAAATAATGTAATGCTTGATACAGATGAATATAGCTTAATAATTTAAACCAGAATTGTATGAGCTGATTAAATTCCATACGAACAGCATTGTAAAGTATCAGCCTAATGAACTTATAGGAGAACATGGTCACACTATTTTCCGTTTACCACTATATCATCCGGGTTTAAATCCGATAGAACTTATATGGGCTACCGTTAAGAACAAAGAAAGAAATTACCAGATACAAATTAGTTGACGTAAAAAGATTGGTATAATTTGAGTTCTCTAAGATCAACTTAGATGAGTGGAATAAAAAAGTGCCATCATGTTAAAATAGAAGATTAATTTTTACTACGAGAAGTACATAGTTGCTTATCAAGATGCTCATCCATTTATAATTCATTTCTAAGATGATTCAAGACACTACAGTGAATTTGAATGTTCTTCCGATGACGAAGAACCACAAAACATTTGTTTATGTTTCAGTTGAAGTTCTTTATGTAGTCCACGCCATTGCGTTAAGAATATCAGTTGGTGTGACCAAACAAAACCTAAACAGATGCAGACCCATAATATTGTAAAGGTGTGGCCTTACCTCATCATAGCTGGCACTTACTGTAAATGTATTTCTCTAAATTGTAAATGTAATAATAAAAAAATAGTTTAATAGCGGATTAAAACTTCAAAAATCTAGAAATGATGTTTTTCAAGGTACCTTTTTTATATAGGGTGTTATTGATATACATGTAACTATTAAAACTATCCTAAAATATACAAAATTTTGAAAAAGTACCAAAATATGAATGTATGTTCATTAAAGTTGATGACCTTCATCTATTAAAACCGTGACACCTTAAGGTCATCAACTCTGAATACCCTTGTTTGCTAATCTGCTGATCTGTAGTCGCATTCTCTGTCCACATCTACACTTGGGAACTCGCGCTGTCTCCAAGTATCTAGAATTCTGTGGTTTTTGAGGGGCTAATTTAAATGTATTGGAATTGTTAGAGCTTTTTATCCATGATTTCAAGAAAAACATTGAAATGATCTAATTAAATTAGTTATAATTAATTATTCTTTGCATACATTTAAATGAGTTGACAGTAACTACTTGCTAAATAAACTATAGGGCCATCATTTGTTATTCTGTCAAGTAAACCTATGTGTAACTTTACTCAGAGATGAAAAGATCGACCATGTCATAGAATAAAGTAAATTATATTTACTTTTCAAAAATGCATGCATTCTTTGCCTTGCTAAACTACAAGACAACATATTCGTATATTAGTATCTTATCTTTTATGGTAGGGAAGAATGCCAAAAATAGCGTATATTGTTTTGAAAACTGCAAATACAATTTTTAGAAAAAAATAAACAAACACTTTAATCTTTTACCTGGCAAAACTACCCAAATCTCGATAGCGTTACCGCATAATTAAAAGGCATGTACTAAATGGAATGGAGAAAATGTAATGAATGTAATTTCACGTTAAAAACGATGAATGAACTGAGATTGTTGATAAATTTTTTTAGGAGTTGTAACAGAATAAATAAAAAAATTACTGAATTCTACTATAATTTAGACACGCTGTAAGTCTAAATACTTTGTAATAGATTTATAAAAAATGTACAATTCAATACATATGTACTGAGCCGGTATCACTGTCAAAACGATGAGCTTGTGTGGTTTCTTTTTCCGTTTACGTGAACATTTTGACTGGTGGGAATTTTGGACAGATACAATATTTTTCAAGAACTTTGTTAAAACACTTTTCACCCTTATTGATACAACCAAGTCTAGCAGACATTTTTGCGAAGTAAATCGTGTTAGGTATAACTTTTTCCTATTTTAATATTCTACTCTATTTACTAGGTCATTTAGTGATGGCGGCAAATTCAAATAGCCCCGACGTATTTTTATTATTGTTACTAGTATTATTATCTCATTCTGTTGGAATTTATTATTTTTTTGACTAGACGATGACTAGACCGTTTTTCCGGACTTGTTACATCGAAAATATTTTCTTAATGTGTGTGAAAAAGAAAACATTGTACCACATTCCTAGTGTTCAAAAGCAAGGCTGGAGAAAGCGGGAAATTTGGGATTTCGTGACGGTAAATTTTAGCTTTTCGATTTGGCAAAAGTGTACGTGAGTTCAAATTAGAATTAGGTAATCATGGAGTCGCGTGGTCTCGTCTTTTTCAGTATCAATAAAAATTTTCTGGAATATTACTCAAGCAAAAAAAGCGCTCAGGACAGGGATTACCCGTGGAAAATTTGAATCTAGTGGTCCAATTTGGTCTCCTGATGATCTCCTTTCACTTGCTCCCGGCTATCGGTTTTCATTTTTTAAAAGATAATTTTTTGAGAATGCTGCCAAATGGTCACTCTGTAATTAAACATGATTCTCGTCTTCAGAAGACTAGCGGATATTTTTCCCAAAAAAAAAAAACCTGCAGAAGTACTACCCTAGCATTTACATTTTACCCTCTAAAGCGTTATGAAGAACAGAATTTATTGTCATTGAAGGCCAAGCTCCCATGTTTTACACTGCTTTCATTTCACAAGCACTATTGACCGAACGGATGGTATTGCGATTAATGTAAAACTGTTTTTTAAAATTGTTTTTAACACACTGTAATTTTTTACCTTGTTTCGTTCCTATGATTTTATGAAAAAAATTTGTTTATGTTACTTTTCTAAGAGCTGTCTTGATTAATCAAGAGTAATAAAATTTTCAAATAATATAAGAAGGGAATATTTAGCACAGCAAGGAACAGAATTAGAGTACTTTGAGTTACTTGGGTATTTACAAATTAATAAACCATTTACTGCATATCCGTCTATTGCTGGTAGATATTCCCAACGGTCGTATTGAAAGTTCTCGAAAACAACATAACGAGTATAAATACACTTTTACTTTTGTTCAAGAAGAGGTGTGTTCCAACAACAATCTTGGAACTGTACATAAACCAGTCCACAACTTATATTCAACGACTGATAGTCGACGACCTGTCCATGACCTGTAGAGGATTGGGACTGAAATCGGGACTAGGATGTGTTGTAACACATTTCTCTGTTGTCAGACACACTCTGTCAATAACATCAAAGCCAAAACAAACTTGGGAAATAAAAAATTATAAAACTTATTAAAATATTTATAAATTTTTATTATTCGATTGGCTAGTATATTAAACTTTATTTATTTAATTTTTTTACTATTTTTAAGTCATAATAATAGTCTTTTTCAATTTCTTCACTTATTCATTACTCATTATTAAGTATAAAATAATAGACTATAAATATTGTAATGAATTAAAAGCAAATTACGATCGATAATCATAACGCAAGAACGGCCGAACGGATCTGGATGAAATTTGACACAAATATAGATTATAGCCTGGAATAGCACATAGGCTACTTTTTATCCCGAAAAAATGTACGGTTCCCGTGGGATCGATTTGTTTTTGTTTTTCACAGAGCAAGTGATTGGACATAATTTTTTGCATACTGGTAGTGAAACATGAAAATTTGAAATACTGCTACTGAGCATAAATAAATAATGACGTTTTTCGGGGTTTTTGGTATTACACATTTTAAGGCGGGGAAACGGGGGTTAAAAGTTTGCATGGAAGCATCGAGTTTTTTATAATTAGATACTTAAAAATTGGAATTATAGCTACTCATCACAAATAAAAAGTGGTGTCTTTCAGGTTTTTGGAATTTCATATTTTAAGAGGAGAGAGAGGAAAAATGGGGGTAAGAGGGGAAAAATTAGGGAAATGGGGGAAATGTGTATTTAAATTTCTAAAATAAAAATGGTATGCTTCTGACAAAAAAATGTTTAAAGCGTCGCGACGCCCAGCGTTGCTTAATTATAACTTCCATATCTATCCCAATTTCAAGCATCAATCGGCCTAAATAAAATGCTTCTTACAAAACTTAATTTGCTGAAGCCGTTTACGAGAAAAACTCATTTCCCATGATAAAAGAATCACTCTGTACAGTCTCTTACAAAAATTAAATTTTTTAGCATTGAGAATCTCGGAACTTTTGGTATTCACCATTAGACGATTTTTTTATGTACAACTATCGCGAACCGTTTGAAACTTTTAAGGATTTTTTATTCAATTTTAAACTTTTGAACAGCCTTTTCTCAAAACTAATGTGAGTTATCTTGTTTTACAGTAACCCGACGAGATATATTTGTTATATTTATTAGAGGTTCCCACTAACTAATTTTAAATGGATGGCCTAAATAAAGGGTCAATATCCAGAAATATTGCTGTCCATGAAACATAACAAAAATACTTATGTGGCCCGAAGGAAAAAAAAGGTTGAGTCTGGGTCAGATGGAAGATTTTTCAATACGACAATTTGTTCGGCACATAGGGCTCGCGAAATAAAAGACGTGCAAAACATGGGAACGTAGGGATCAACAAGACAGAACGCTCTAGAGGGTAAGCTATATATGCTAGTATAGTACTCTCGCGAGTGTTCCCATATATTTTGCTCTCTTACTCTTAGGTGGGTATATTGTGCTTACTCCGACCTAACTATGCATGTACCTGGGCTAAAAGTGAGTAAGCACGATATACCCACCTAAGAGTAAGAGAGCAAAATATATGGGAACACTCCCATGGGAGCGCTCCCATGACTTAGTGAATAGCTATCCTGGTGATAGACTGGAATGTAGAGATGGATATTAGCAAAAAATATGTAACTGTTATGTACATTTACGAATTTTTTACTACCCATCTCTAAATTCACGCGATATAACCGAACTTCGATTTTCGTTCAAGGACGACTTACCCAAGTCCGACTCAGCTGAGTTTTGTTTATAAATACGGACCTTAGATTCCAGATAGTGAGAGTTAAAACTGAACCCATACAACTAAAGAAGAAGGCAAGCAAAAAAGAAGAAATTTAGGCTGACGCCGCCGTAACTTTAGATAGATTGCCAAAATAATAATTTAGTTTTCTTTTTTATTTTATTAGTTGTTATGTAAACTTATAGATCTTCTTCCAATGACCTTGCAACTTAGACCATAATAATACCAATTTGTAACCTGTGTTTAATAAGCCAATTCATAAAAATAAATAGTTAATGAAGAATATAAACAATGCTTCCTCAAAAATCAGAACAAGTCAGTATGTCTCAAAAAAAAACAGATTCTAGTGTAGTGTTTTCATTAAAATTGTAATAAAATACGCAATTACGCCGTTTTCGTTTTTTTTTTTTCTCATTGAAAGTTTAATTCAAAAATACAAGATAAAGCTATATGAGGTTAATTTAGCAATCAAGTGTAGAATGATAGTCGAAAAAAGAGCACATTGACAGATTTTTAAATTTTAGAATCTGATTCTAACGTTCCTAACTATTTAAATATGTATATGTAATTCAATAATACCCAGTATAAATTACGTACTACATAGAGGCTGTTAAAGAAACAACAAAAATTATAGTAAGCAAGTTGACAATCAGATATTAATGAAAATACAGCATAAAATCAGAATTTTGATAAAAGTACTGTTAAAAAAAATACTTACACACAACAATTTTTTAAATTATACGGAGAAAATAGTTCCATGCCGATAATGGCAAAGAAATAATACATAACCATCATGACTATGCCTGTCGACCACATCAGTGGACTGAGTAGAACCAAAGTACCGAAAATATCTCGGTACCTTTTCTTCAGTTTAAACAGCCTTAGCAGTCTAGAAAAATAAAACAAAAACAGATTATTTCTACATTTCACTTAAATCTAAAAATAAATTATCAAAATGAGACTAATTAAAATTTTACAAGGTTTAATGAATTATTTGAAAACTATTAATATAACTCTACCTGAGAGGTCTTAGGATAACTACCACAGTAAGATTAGGCATCATGGACAATAGAAATGCTCCAGTCAGTGCTAGAAGTGTAACTGACAGGTCAAATATGTTCCATCCCGAAGATATGTATTCTGACCAACCAAGACCAACAATTCTAAGTAAAGCCTCGAACAAAAAGACTGAAAAATATTTCACATTTAATAAGTTATTGTTTTTTTTTTTAAACAGTTGTATCAGATAAGAAACCGAAAATAATAGCTATTTACGAAACATTTCCGCTTGTCATTGTCTAAGGACCGTGAAAGCAAGATGTATTTTTTTAAAACAAAACAAAGTAACCATGACCAGTTGTCAAAACTTTAAAAAGTGTGGTTAGGTTTGTGCTTTGTTTATATTGAATTGTCATACATTTTGTTGGGATCCCGTTAAAATTGATCTTTGTTTACCTTTAAAAATTATTCTCAGAAGTTTTATCTTAATAAAAGTTGCAGTAGAATAATTTTTGAATGTAAAAGCACCAAAAAGCAAAATATACAAAAGCAAGAATACTTTTTAAGGGTTGATTGGTGTACTACTAAATGGATTAACTACTTTCTGAAACAAAAGCAGATTATATTCAAAAAATGGTTGTTTTCCAGGTAATTTGATTTTAGGAGACAGGTGTTTTCTTTATAAATTTTAACATCCCTCTATTTTTAATGGCACAATTTACCAAAGAATTGTTTTTGTGTACTAGGACAATTGCGAGACTCAAAATTCATGTGAAACATGCAATAATAAGAATCTAATTTATAAAGTATCTATGTCGCCCTTAACATTTAATTTCTTTTAAATGTTCAATGTTTGTTAAAAAAAGAAAATATTCATAAAGCATTTGTTTATAACAGTATGACAGATGACAGTGACATCGTTGTTAGGGTAACTTGTTTTGTGTAGAAATAAATATGTTACCAAATATGTGTCAACATCCATTCCACAGGTTCCTCCACAACATTTGGCAATATTCGTGACTATCCCTACTTTATCCAGTTGTGGGTAGGAGTGGGCATTAGAGTGATTTATTTTGACCTTAGATGAAAGAGACAAGAGATGTAACATTTCACATAGCGCATGTTGTCTATTCCCACCTTAAGTAACCCACCAATTTAAAAACATTATTTCCACGACGCCACCCGAATTGTTCCGACATCTTTCCTACGCTCTTCTCCGCGAGCGTGAATCATCATGGACCGCCGTTTTTTTAAAATTATTTGTTGGTGTTATTAGCAAACTTAAAGTGTTTTAGTTATTATATTTCAAGTTGAAAATACCACGATGTATCGTAAAAAATTGTATATTCAAATAATATAAGTGCCAATGTTATGAAAAATAAGAAATATATTCGTTTTCAGCGGTAAATATTTATTAACGTTTTGACATAAAGGCGCCATGATCCTTTGAGCTGAATACTTCAGATCCGCATGAAGGGGTTTCAGAAAACTGATTTCATAGTACTTACAAAAATTTTCTAAATGGCAAAATTTTGATCATTTAATATAAGAAAAAAAACGCATTGTTGCTAACGAAATTTTGTTTTTGAAAAGTAGTTTTAAAAGAATATTTACTGAAGGTGGTTTTTAGCCCTTTTTGGTGGATAAATAAGTAGTAAAGAAGCATAGTTCTACCGAAATTTTATTTTTATGAGTTGTTTTGATAAGAACATTAGATAAAATACAGGATGACCTACTTAAAATTTCAAAGTTCATCTAATTTGCGGTCAAATCGGATGTGACATTTGGATCTTAAGTCTTAAAACAAATTAAAACGCACAATATGATCGAGTATAAGCAAAAAAATACTAAAGTTACGTGAGTGTTAATAAAATGTTACATTATAAACCCCTAAACAACTCTAAAAAAAATTTGTTTACTAAAAAATCTAAATTCTTGTTTACTAAAAAATCTAAATTCTTGAAATATTTACTATTTATTATACATTCGAATGCGGTTTTAAGAATAAGGGGATCAAAAATATGCGAATCTCAAAATTTGCTCGCAAGCGACCAATAGGGGTTACAAAAATAATCGATTAATCGATTATTTTCAATAAATTATTTTCGTTTTTTCAAAGTTAATGGAATAATAGATTTTAAAGGAAAAATAAAAGAAAATAGATTTATTGAAAAATCGATTTATCGTTTAATTGCCCTTTTTAATTAATCGATTATTTTCGATTTTTCAATATTTCAATAATTTATTTTAAAGGAAATACGAAAAAAAAAATAGATTTGAAAATAATCGATTGATCGAATATAATCGGTTATTTTATATAATCGATATTTCGGTTATTTATTTAGAATTATCGATTAATCGGCTTTTTGATTAATCGATTATTTTCGATTTATCGATTATTTTAGATTTTTAGAAGATAATCGAATAATCAATATTAAAAAAAAAAACCAAAAAAAATTGATTATTTCAAAATAATCGATTTTTGATATTCAGAGACAATGGAATAATCAATTTTGATGGAAATACGAAAAAAATAGATGATTTAATAATCAATTATTCAAAATAATCGATAATTCGGTTATTAAGCTATTGCATAGCTTTTATCGCGGACTTTGAGCGTGGCGACCGAATCAAGAAATTCCGACCGGCACAGCGGTGCGGCGTTTTGAAAGCCGTGGAAGGTTTTATCCGACCCTATTCGTATTAGTATGAAGCGGAGTTAAATATACGTCTGCGGACTGGAACGTTTATGCAATACAAGAACTAGAAGAGCTTTCTCTGGCTTCTAATAAATTGGTATCACAAATGTTCCCGGCTGGCGTAAATATTAGATATTAATTTTTTTTTGCAAGATTTATAATAGTATATTATGCAACGATCATGTAATGATGGTTATTAATACACGAGCATTAACCGGGATACGAAACGAGCCAAAGGCGAGTTTCGTATGGTTTATGCGAGTGTTTTAATAACCATTACATGAGAGTTGCATACTCTATTTTTTCCACACCAGATAAATAATCAAGACCTATAAATATTATATTTATATTAGTATTGAACACAATAACAGTAGATACTCGTATTTCTATAAAAAATTCTACAAAATTGTAATTAATGGTATTACTTCGGGTATTGGTATTTCCCTAGATTTCTGCGGCAAAATATTTTGTACTGTATTTTCTGCTTTTATATTTAATATTATAATTTTTTATATTATAATTATCGAAGTTTAGCTATCTACGAAAATTTAATACGTTTTGACAACTAAAACAATTATATAGGAACCCAGGACAAACGTCAAACAGCATGCTTGATTGAAAAATTGTAGGTTTCTATTGATTAAAAATCTGTATCATAATGAGTATCATTATGAAACGGATTATGGGCATATAAGTGCATTATTATAATACGAGTATAAAAAAAATATTAATTTTTATTTTATCATTGTTAACTATTTCATTATTAAGCTATTGCACAGATTTTATCGCGGGCTTTGAGCGCGGCGACCGAATCAAGAAATTCCGTAACGAAAATAAACCTAACCCCTCAAAAAATCGAAAAAATAAAAAAAACGCAAAATCGAAAAAGAAATTCCGTAACGAAAATAAACCTAACACCCCCCTTGTTAAAAGCGTTGAAAGCCGTGCATCGTCTAACGTCGTTTCAGTTCGGCAGACTTCGGCACGGTGTTTGTGTGAGTGCGACTAAATGTATGCCTGTAGACTAGCTGTTAACTGCTCATAACTGATTCTATCTCTTTTAGACACAATTTCGGAAAAATTGAATTTGAAAATAAATAAACAAAATATGGGACCACTATTGACGCGGTATTTTCCAGATATTTAGAGGATATCAAGTCTCAAACTTATGTTTCTTATTTCAGTTACCATAAACCTATAGTTTCAATGATAAAAATAACCTACATGTATTGTAAGATAATAAAAATATTTTAAACAATATAAACTTCTCATTTAGTCAATAAAAGAAAAAAAATTGTTTTCTTATCAGTCACCACGCTCAAAAAGTGTAATTAATATCAAAGAAAAAACTTGAATTAATATCAAAGAAAAAAAAATACTGCATAAATAAAATAAATAAATAATGCTATGCAATAGCTTTACCGCGGCAGTCCCCGAGTGCCACACGTATTTTTTTTTTTTTTTTTTTTTTGAAAAAACGATTTAAGTTAATCGAATTTTTAAAAAATAAATTATTTTTGATTAATCGATTATTTTCGATTTTTCAAAGATTATCGAATAATCTATTTATAATTTTTTGGAAACACCGATTTATAGGTTAATCGGGTTTTAATTGAAAGATTTTTTCGATTTTTCAAAGACAATTGAATAATCGATTTTAAAAAAAATACGAAAAGAAAATGGCTGGTTTGAAAATAATCGACTGATCGAAAATAATCGATTACTTTCAATGACTGATAATTTATTTCGATAATCGCCCACCTTTAGCGACCGAATGACTTATTAGGTTTAAATTTTAAAATATCCGGTTTCAAAAATGTGCATTTCTGGAGATTTATGTGACATCCTCTATATTAATTAATATTCCCAAAGAAAGAAGTTTTAATATACCTTTTTCTGAGGTTACTATACAAAACAGCAATTTTCTCATTTTGACTAACTTTTAATATTATGTAATAGCTGTAGAAAAAATATAATGTTCAACACACAAGATCTGATTTGCAGTATTCGCCTGCGCACATGCTGCTATTAACAATATTTTATTTCAAAATTTTATTGTAGTCTATAGAATATAAAAGTTAATGAAATATTCTACAGTGAGCATCTTAAGTCTTACCCCCCCCCCTAACTAACTCGTTACTGGGGTCTTGTTAGGAAAATCGCCGAGACAGGTCGATTTTTGATTTCTACAATGTACATTTTTGCATTATTAGTTAACCCTTAATTTCATCCCTTACTGGAGGGTAAAAACCCTTTCGAAAAATTTAAATGGCATGGGGTGGTGAGTGATAGCTCATTTGAAAGGGGGTTGTCATTTAAATTTTTCGAAAGGGTTGCTCCCCTCCAGTAAGGGATGAAATTAAGGGTAAACTATTCATACAAAAATGTACATTGTAGAAATCAAAAATCGACGTGTCTCGGCGATTTTCCTAATAAGACTCCAGTAACGAGTTAGATAGGGGGGGTAAGACTTATGGTGCTCACTGTATAAAAGAACTATTGTATTCTCTTTACATAAAATATCGTTGCGACTGTTTGATATTAGAAAATCACGATAAATTTATTTCATAATACAACATTCCATTAAACAGCTTTTTAGTAAATCTAATAGTTCATTATGACGGTAACAGAGTTCGGGTCTCCTCCCAGTTCCCCCACTCCGTTAACCTTTCTTTAGAAATTGGCAACATTCGCGCAGGTTAAACACCATAGTATGTTACATCTCTGGTCTCTTTTAGCTAAGATTTTGACATAAAGGTGTTGAGTTTTTTTTAATATATATTATATAAAAAAATAGTTTTGAAGTAACTAAGTTATTTATTTAGTTATTGCAATGGTGTGATTTTATCCGAATACAATCTTGAAAATTATAGAAATACAATAATTTAAATTGACACTTAAATTTTATTCTATTTTTATTTATTACTAAACGATTATTAAACTAAAATGTTGCCTACTTAAATGATACTATATACTAAATATTTACTCTATAAACTATTTTGTTCGACCACATTGTCCCGATTTTTTTTATTTAACTCTGCATTAAGCAAAACTTTTTATCAAGATTCGTCGTACTGGCTAGCCGACCGCCGGCGGTAGTTGAATTTAAAACGAAAACCGTCTTCCGGCGGCATGGTCTTATCACATATAAAAAATCCGTCGAAAATCTAAACTGATTTGTTGATCAGGGCGGCATGGTATCAGTGCATTGATAAATGCCGCCGGACGACTGTCTACTGTATTTAAAACATTGAATGTCGCCGGAAAAATTGACATAACCTTATTTCTTCCATTTCTATGTGAATTTTCACTTCTTGAATATTAATTAATTATTGGACTTTGTTTTTATTTACTTTTCTTGAGATTGTGATCGAGTGAAGCTAGTGGTGTTTGTTGTTCCTGAGTGATAAATATAAAGTTAGGAGACGTATTTGAAAGTTATGAAGACTTTTTGAAAGACCTGGATAATTATTCCAAACGAGAATTTGTATCCTTTTGGAAGAGAGATGCCAGCACTATTTCAGCGGCCAGAAAAAAAAACCGATCGTTTTCTATATCCAAAATTAAAATATTATCAACTGAAATATACATGTATTATTGGTGGGAGAACGATCAACCCGACTGGAGAAGAAAATGATAAGGTAATAATTTGAGACCACTTTTATTTGAGAATAATTATTTTCACGTCCTCATAATAATTTCTACTAACTGCTCATAAGGATTTAATTAGAACTGTTGAATGAAAGACAACAATTTATCATTTTATACAAGTTTTTAAAGCTTGGATAATGTTATTATGTTTTTAAGGGGCTTAAACGAAACGTTTATTAACTTAAAGAAAAGCTATTCTATACCCACATTACATTTATTAATCTGATGTGGTACAAATGGTAGTTTAGCTGGTATACACAGGTAAGTTGTCTATGCCAATAAGCAACATTTTTCAACACTGTTTCTACCTTGTTTTTTCACTGACTCATAAGTTGTGGTAAAGTATAAAATAAAGGCGATATTTTGTTTGGTATGAAGAAACACCGCCACGCCGGCTGTTCCATATTGTAAATTTAAATCGATGCCACCGCGATTTTACAAGTGTTTTTTCTTACCACCCCGGCATTCAATGTTTTAAATACAGTAGACCGTCGTCCGGCGGCATTTATCAATGCACTGATAGCATGCCGCCCTGATCAACAAATCAGTTTAGATTTTCGGCGGCGGCGGCGGTTTTCGTTTTATTAAATTCATCTACCGCCGGCGGTCGGCTAGCCAGTACGATTTTTCGTTTAAACTAAAAATGTTTACCCTCTTGCGAATTTATGGTAAATTATCTTTAATACGAAGGCGTTATATTTATATTTTCTATGTATGGATAATTGCACTTAAAAATGACATATACTTACAAAATAAGAACAAATATGTATCCCAAGATGCACAAAACAGTCTAGCTCCTTCCTCCAACGAATTAGAGTTTTGCATAACTCTTATGAACATAGCGATTCCATTTGAAATGATCAAAACATCTAAAAAAGTTATTTTTAATTATTTGATTGTCTTTAAATTTAGGGCATTAAACTGAATTAGGATTTTTAACTGCAGTCTACTTGCTACTATAAAAAGTTGCAATTAATTTATAGTATTCTATGTAAAAAGCAAAAACTGAAAGAAAGAGATATAGTAAGTATCCAGAAATAAATATTAAATTGGTTTGGAAATATACACGACAGCTATAAACAAAGTGATAAAATGTAAACCTGAAACAACAAGACCAAAGTAAAAAATGGTATAATATAAATTGAACCAATGTTTATATTTATAAAATTCACGCCTAGTTGTTTTAAATTAATATGCCATATTATTCAATTTTATAGGTTTAAAAATGTATATTTATATTTTTTGACAAAAACTTACAAATTATATGTTCGAAAAATCTCCAAGTCACTACAGTTTTAGACGCTCTGCAAAACATTCTCAATGGTGGCCAAGCAGCTGAAAACCAAGGATCAAGTGGTGTTTTGTTCCTCCATTTTAAAGTTAAACCGTCGTAGATGTTCAGAAATTCTTCCTGGTTCAATTGGCCACTATTAGATTTGTTCAATTGGCGAAATATCAGAACTACATCTCTAAATCCTAAAATAAATATACTGATTTAAAATTTAATCTGACAATGATAAAACTAAAAGATATAATAATAAATTCCTAATACTTACTAGTCTTTGGTGAATAATAACGCATTAAACCATGAAATTGTCTAAATCTGATATGGTTCGGAGTTTGTTTGCTAACAAGAAGTCTAAATGCAAGTTTGCAGGCCTGTCTTTTGTGCAATAAAAGTTTCCTGAATTTATCCTTTTCTATCCCCGTGAAAGTTTCATATACCACGGCAAGCATCTTTAAAGAAAATGATTTAATATGAAAAGAGCAGATGCGATAATTGTTTTCAATTTTACAGACATTACACTTACCAAATTCATTAATACATAGAGTACCGTTGAAATATATGATATAAAAAAGGCGGCAGTCCATTTTGATATAGCATAAGAAGGCATCATTACATCTGGAAAACTAAAATGAAATGCAAATCTGAAACCTGCTCGCAAAGTTTTATAAAATTTCTGTAAACCTTAATTTTAAAGTTTATATGTGAAAAATTATAATTCTTACTTCGCTGTAGTCAGTAACACAAACATGCTAACGAAGCTGTCACCTAAGGTTCGGAAGTACAGATTTGTTTCATGTCCACTGAACAAGAAATATCCAAGAAGTGCGTAGGAACAAACGAAAAACATCAGAAGTCCTAACATGTCGAGAATTGGAGGTAAAGATTGAAGAATTTGACGAATGTATCTGCAATAAATAATATCAAATAACCTCAAGCCACTTTGTTTTTAATTAATTTTAGAGATTTTTAAAAACGTGGGAATCGTGCTGTATCGTTATGAGGTAGTGTGGATGCTGTCAACAACAATTACGACGATTCGTATAATGAGCAGTATGCCAATAAGTTTACTGCACAAGATCCACATATTACAATAAGAAATTTATATTAAATTTTAGTGATGGGTCGCTTGGAAAAGTCCACGGACAAGTCTGAAAAGTTGACTAGTCCAAACATACTTTTCAAAAGTGGAAAAGTGTATTGGGCATGCGCGAAATTAAATTATCCAATATGTCTAAATTTCTTACAAACAAAGGCAAAATATTCAAAAAGAAGAAACGACAAATTATTACTACCTTTTATATGTTTTAACGATGTTTTCGAATTTTCATTTCATGTCTTAAAAATACTAAAAATAAACACGTGAAAAAATTATCAAAAATTCAAAAGTTTGAAGCATTTTACAAATTATTTGTTAAAAAAAAAATGAAAATATAAACGAAAATATTGTTCCAAAAGGGTTTTTGAAAACACATCCAGGGTGAAGATTTTACGGTGTGTCTTTTATGCCCAAGGTCAACTACTTTTCATTTTGACTTTTCACTACTTTTCCGGACATGTCCGTTAGACTACCCAGGCAGCACACATTAGTATAACTAACGTATTTTATACGTAATACTCGTTTAATTTTGGTAATGGTTGATTCCGTATACGTTTACAGTTTACGATTATTATACATGCCGTATTTTAAAAGATATATTATACGTTTTTTGTATACATCCTATGGTATATAATTGTAAATTTCTACGTTTAAATGTAGTTAACAATATACGACTATTTTTAGTTTGCAATGAACTATTTATATACAGTGGGTCTAAATATACGTTTAGGTTTATTTAAATTAAATTCGTATAAAGTTACATAATATTACAATATGTGTTCTTCGTTTATAACTCCCGTTTAAATTTCGTCTTGGTTGATTTTTTAAACGTTTACCATCTACCATTTTTATACTTTACGTTTTTTAACAGATAAATTAAACGCTTTTGTTTGTGGATACTAGTTAATATACCTATATTATTCTACGTTTAAATATAAGTCAGCTTAAACGCATATTACCAGTTTACGATGAACTAGTAGACAGAAGTAAATAATATGTATATATTTAGGTTTATTTAAATTAAAAGCTTATAGATATATTTATTTACATTACACCATATTTTTTTAATTATATTGCCTGTAATATTTATAACAAATTCCCCATTGTACCGATTTCAAACACCCGAACATTTAAATAACCCGCCAATAACCATGGTGGGATGGACTAGTCCATGTCGTTTCAGTGAGTGAGATTCGGGATGTGCTTTAAGCTAAGTCGGGCTGGTCCAAAGTGCGCGTAGTGCAGAGAATCGAGAGGGGAGTAAGGTACCGGCAGACGATCGGGAATCAGCTGACTGATGGTGGCTGTGAAGGGCTCGCTATCAATCAAACGATTCACGCTATTATAAGTTATATTTCTGTTAACTAGTTGCTAACCACGATAATTGTTTTTTATGTAATAAAAAGTTGTTATAAAATTGTTGGTGTTGTTGTTGTTGTGCCCATTTGCATTGCATGTTGCTTTGGCGTCCTGGCTTTTACGATATTGGTTACAAGCATAGGTAAGTTTCTATTAATGTTTTAATTTAGCTACTCGTTTAATAATTGTTGCATTTTACAACAACTACTGTTTTATTACAGTGTGTAAAATGCTTATAGAATCTCCAAAACATAACCTTACGTTTGTTTCTCTTATTTTTATACGTATTTTGTTTCTCTTATTTTTATACGTATTTCTATACGTATTTTTTAGGCTACCTAGTTATTACAAGCATACTTATTTTCCTTAGTTTTGGTCAGTTGTTTTTTATTTAATAAAATGTCTAAAATAACCCTGTCTCGGCCTCATCTACTAAGAAAAATAGCACAAAATGTTCAAGATGCTTTAAAGTCAAATCAATTTTTTTTTATTCCCAGTGAAGATAACATTAATAGGGCTTCGGACATTAATATATCATCTGATTCTATTATTTATAATAATTTCCTAGAAAATAATACAAATTAACTTTGGAGCTTTTAGAAAATATTTCACCTGAAATGCAGTTAAATTTTGGTTATAGGAATGGGGGTGAACCAAGAGACTTAACTGACCGAACGATTAGCAGTGCTATGCAAGATTGGCTTAAGTTAGCTAAGGCCTGTCTAGGACACAACACATCCAAAGTGTTAAGCTAAGATTTTAATTTTCATATATATTTTTTGTTAGTTAAAGAAAAGTTTCGTTTAGTTTGTTATTCAGTATTTTAGTGTTTATTTTTTAGTACTTATTTATTTTTTAGTATTTTATTGTTTATTTTTTTTTTTTTTAATAAAATATTGTTCTGTACATATAACAAGAACAAGTGATCAAAAAAATTTCCTAAATATTTAGACCAATTACAAATAGAAACACGAGTAATACCTATTTCTAGTGTATACACACCTGCTATGGATAAAATCCAAACTGTCATTTAAGAAATATTAACATTTTTCCATTGCCTCTTTTAGAAATTTTGTTTTGATCACTTTATTTAATTTGTGTTTGAAATACATTTAAAATAATATCAGGTAGACGCATTTTACACATTAATAAAATAAGATAAATCTAATATAGACGTATAGTAAAACAGGATAATAAAAGGTAGATAAAGTAGTAATGTTAGACGTATAAAAAATAAAAAAAATATACGTTTATAGGGCGGACATTTTCACGTATATATTGGGTAGCATATCAACGGTATCCATACGTATATTGTAGTACATAAGAAAACGTCTTTTATACCAAAGTGGATTTGTATAAATATACTACAACTATAAATCTAATATAGACGTATAGTAAAAACGTTTAATTATAGGTGGATAAATTCTTAGTAATCGACGTTTATAGGGCGGACATTTTCACGTATATATTGGGTAGCATATCAACGGTATCCATACGTATATTGTAGTACATAAAAAAACGTCTTTTATACCAAAGTGGATTTGTATAAATATACTACAACTATAAATCTAATATAGACGTATAGTAAAAACGTTTAATTATAGGTGGATAAATTCTTAGTAATCGACGTTTATAAGGCGGACATTTTCACGAATATATTTGGTAGTACATCAACCGTATTCATACGTATGGTAGTACCTAAAAAAAACGTAATTTATACCAAAGTGTGCTGCCTGGGTAGTCCAAAAATTACTTTTCAAGAAAATCTCATCACTATTAAAAACATTTAGTGACATATGAAAAGTATTGTTTCACAATTTTTCATTACAATAATGAAAAAAACATGATTTCACTAAATTATTTGTACAATGTATACCGGCCACTCCCATGCTTTTCAAAATGGTACTTTATTCTACCCCACCCTGTATTATGTAATTAAGCATTTAGAAAGTATGCATTAAATAATGTTTCAATATATATTTACCTACGCACTCCACCACATGCTCTGGTGTCAACTAAGAAAATTGGTCTCAAAGCCCTCGTGACTCTAAAATGGGAAGACTGTCTGACTAGAACTGTAATTGCCTCAAGGACCATGATGGATAGCGTCACACACTGTTAAAATTAAATTGTATTTTATTTAAATTCTTTCTGAGCCAAATGCATTCTTTGAAGTACAGTAAAAACTTGATTATCCTGTACTTATTTTTCCTTATTTTTCAACTTTCTTTTGTTTGTTTATTAGGGTCGTGGGGATAAATTCCTTAGTTTCATAGGGCGAATTGGGGGTTTATATTTTCACATTTTCAAAAATTTAATTTTGTTCTTATGTGTTTGTAGGTACCTGTAACTTGTTTTTTAATGTATAAATTAAACGGGATCCGGAAAATTGATCGTTCGCAATTGACCGCCAGCACATTTACCGCCATATAATACATATAATTATTTATATGCTAAGTGGCTGGCTTGGATGGGTCTAAATAAAGTTAAATTTAACTGCCGTATGGTGAAAAAATCACACGTAAAAAATTCCGTTTGTGCAAGATTCAAATAAAAAACAATTTTCACGGTTTTATTGATTTTAGTTTAATTTACTATGTCGTAAAGACCACATAAAAGGCTTCTATGAAAAAAATATAAAAATAAGTTAAAAATAATGTAAAGGGTTACGTCTTAGGAAAAAGATTGAGAAAAGGGGGATACAGGAAAAAACTGAAAATGCAACTTCCAAAATATTCACTTTACATCTCAGGTATACATTTTTTGAATCGAATAATAGAGAAAAATACAAAAATGCGATAATATACAGTGTTCCATTGTAAAAAACATGGGGGTGGCCATGGGGGGACAGAGTAGAAGTTACGAGTATACATAAGCAGAAAGACGTTCCCTTCTAAATAATTTTTGACTTATTTTCTTATAAGAGTTTCAATTTAAAAAAAAAATATTTAGTGTTTTTCTTGAAATTTCCTGTAAAATAACCAAATTTGAGATCCTGTTTTTTAATAATTTTTTCTACACCCACATGAATATTGGTTTATCTACGCACAGATTACAAAATGAAAAAAATATACTATTGCGTTTAACGGAACGAATATATTTTATATCAATTCTAGGTAGCGAGAACACTGTAAAAAAATAAAATCAATCACAGTCAGGGTTCGGAGGATATATATCAAGTGATATATATCATGATATATATCCGATATATTCGATAATTTTATTTATTAAATTAAAAATGTTTTCCAACATTCTAAACATCCGAAAATGTCTCAATACGCCCCTGTACATAAGTATAATAACTGGCGATTTATTCGACTGTGCGCAAGCATCGCCGCACCGACTTTGGGGTTCCCAGCTTCGCCACGATTTGTTTTGTTTTTGCTGTTTAAGTGTATGATTCAAAATATAAACAAAAAGAAAACGAAAGTTATATATTGAGAATATAATAGACTCTTTTATATATTATCTTTGATTAATAATCAGTTTTACTTTATAAATAGGAGTAGAACCTTACTATTGTTGTTATTTGTCTTTAGTTACTTGACTATAGTTATTTGTCTCTAGCTATTCGTTATTTTGAACTAGTTAGTTATTTGTTATTTGAAGCCGTTAATTAAAGTAGCTTTAAGACAGATATCCATTTAAGTGTATTTTATACTTAATAAAATTTTTAAAAATAAAAGTTCCATTTTGGAATTTATAACTCGAACCTTGACTGGTCATGTTAAGCAGACTTATCTGAAGATTCTGAAGTTATTGTCACTAATAGGAATCACATTATTGATATTTATAATTCATCAGATGAGGATACTAATATCAATGTTAAAATCTTTTTATTTTTAATTTTTTTCTTTTTAATAGTAGTTATAAATGTTATAATAAAGGGTTTTGTTGTTTAGAATTTAGAATATATGTTTTTAATTATGTGTTTGGGTTAAAATATTAATGTTAAAATACTAATGTTAACAAAATAATGTTAAAATCTGTTTATTTAATTATTTTTGTTTTCTTTTTAATTTGAGTTAGAATAAACAGTTTTGACTTTTAGTATTTAGGTTCTGTTAATGTGTTTGTATTAAAATTTAAAATATAGTTTTTGCAAAAAACAATACTGTTTTTGAATTAAATAATTAAATTTTAAAAATGATATATATCCGATATATATCATGTGATATGATATTTATATAAATATCATGATATTTTCGAACCCTGAATTCACAGTTCATATTTTGGACACCCAACTACTACTATTTTTAAAATTTTAAATAAGTGACAATTTTGTCAAACTAAATTAAATTAAAAACAATAAAACCGTGATGAATGTTTTGTTATTTAAATCTTGCTCAAACGAAATTTCCTACATGTGATTTTTTTACCATATGGCTTGAATTTAATTTAGACCGATCCAAGACACTTAGCATATAAGTAGCTTCCATTTTTAGCTATAACTACTTAATTTTTAAAAAACACCTTCAAAAACCCCATATTTTTAATTTAAAATGACCAATAAATGTTTACATGTATTATATGGTAGTAAATGTGCTGACGGTCAATTGTAGACCATAAATTGCTTAGGCGATCAATTGCTACGGTGGTAAATTGCTAGCGGTCAATTGCTGGTCAATTTTCCTAGACCCAAATTAAACGACCTTCAATAGTATTTTTTTTTGTCAGGATAATTAAGTCTCTACTGTAATGAAAAAATTGCATTCAACATTATAAAAAAAAAGAATTACTATTTTTTAATTTTTACCTTCACCATGGTTCTCTTGTGATTTAAAATCGTACGCCAGCCTATCCATCTTAATTTTAACATCAGCTCTACACCGATGACACCCAGCGCCACTAATTCCAATGTACTGTGGATGCCTACAGGGAACTCAAAATTATCTAATGATGGCTTTTCTACTGTAGCTAAAAGCAATAATACAACAGAGAAAAAAATGTCAAATCCATAATACCACGAGTTATGGACCAAGAGATAAGCAGGTAATGCTGCAGGATGACGGGGGTGAGAGTCGAATTTTTCATTGTTTGCTCCTTCCTGCAGAAAAGAGGAATTATTTAATAATAAATTTATTGTCCATTTGTACATAAAATGAGAGAAAAATCGGAATATAAGTGGTTTAGGGAATTATTTTATCAAAGTCCTCCAAATTTTATCGATTACATTTTGGTTTTCCATGAAAACTTCTTTATTTGGAAAAACCACGAAAACAAAACGATTGATAAAATTACGAGTCCGCAGGATGAGCAATTTTATCTTAGATCGGTTTGTTTGAGTAATTTCGTCTGAAATAAAGTCGTTTGAGAATGGACACTCAAAATTTAATAGATAAAATTTAAAAGAACAAGCGGTATTTGAAAAGAATATTTTCTGAATCATTTTGTATAAAAAAGACACAATAACATATTTGGAGTAGGAGTAGATAATCTAAAAGTTATCGTAAGTTTTTGACATTTATAGTGCCTGTTTTCTGTATTTTTAAAAAGTATATCAATTTGGGTTACTTATTGTTGCTAAGTTTTATAACATTGATTCATATATATGTATATTTATATTGTTTTATTTGTTATACAAGGTGTTTAATTTGTACATAAATTATTAATGAAATATTCTATAGGTATTTTAATTATATTAGAATATTTTTCTTGTTTTTTAAGATTAATTTTTTTTTAGGAATTTCTAAATTTTTAAACCTATATAAACTTTTGAACTAATTGAGATAATGAAATGCAGTTCTCATCAATCTTCATCTAATATATTTATTTTCTGAGTAATCATATTTTTTTGGCTTACTTCCAATCTGACGGAATATGAAATTCAATATTTTCGGGGAAGGACAACTATGGTGTTTCAGATAGAACAACTTGTATATTTTTCTCAATTTGCAAGTCCATTATTTGCACTTTCCAAAAGTGGCATACTTGGCAGGGTAATTATACGTGTGCTCATTTCATTTACTTCTGAAATAAATACGGCCATTTACATGTTACTTCAATTACTATTATTTAAGATGTACATATGAAACTCGATCTAACAAAGAGTAAAATATCACTTCACTGAACAATGAAAATAACATGCAGTATTTATTTTAAAAGCTTATAAAACTATCACCCCTTGTGACAATTATGAAAGTATGGCATTTTAGGAAAGGAGAAACTGGGTTATTGAACGGAGAAAAATAATTTGAAGTAATAGTTGACCTATCTTCGAAAAAACAGAATGTCATTTCTGGTTAAAGTGTGTGTGAGGAAAAAACAACGGACACACATATAAAACTTATAAAAATTATAAGAAGACTCATAAAAACCGCATTTCGTTATTTCAACTGAAGTTACAGGATTTTAGAAAGGTTCAAAATATAATGGAGACAAAACAAAATTCTCGGTGTTTAAAGCGTATTTATAATGGTAAGTTTGATTGTAACATTGTAAGTCAAGTGTGATTTTTGTTAATGAAAGTTCTTAGATTTATTTAAATTAAAACTTTAAATAAGTTTTTGATTGTATGCTAACAATGAGTTAATTTTGTAAGTTTCCATAAAGTATGGCATATTAAGTTTATTTTTTCAAGTTTAGAGTGAGGCAGATTCAAACTTGCAGAAAGCTATTAATAAATATTAAACAAATTTGCAAGGAAACTTGAATTTAATTTGTAAGTTTGCAGGGAATGTATTTTGCTTATTGGGTAAATAATATCGATAGACCTAATAATCGATTCTTCAGAAATAATCAATTTAACGATTAATGGAATAGTTGATTATTTGAAAATTGGGATCTAAAATTAAGATCGCAGCGCCGTGTGTACTTAACATTTAAACTAAAAGTTGTGGCTTGTTATTGTTTACATTTTTGAGTTTGTAAACAAACAGATAATATTGTTAATTTTTAGTGGTTAGACACTTTTATTTCAATAGTTTTTAGGTTAAAGTATAATATATATTTTTATTTGGTAAGTAACCCTCTATTAATTTTGTTTTTGAGTTACTTTCATTCATTTATGTTAATTTAAGATATTTGTTCTATTTTTAGTGAGATGTCTGAAATAAGGCTAAGTTTAATAGAACTTATGAAGTATATTGGTGGAGGTGAAAATTCCAGGACTGTTATTAAAAAAGAGGCTATTTTAAATGCAGGCCACATAGTTTTTATGTGGAAAGAATGAATTTAGTGATAAACGTATATCTGTTTATGCAGTTGTTCTCCAAACTATTGCATTGAATTCAGATCCCCATATTGTTGTAGGCCAATTCTCATTCACAAGATGTTAGAAATTGGTGAATGGAAATGTTTGTTTTAAGCTGGGAACAGTGGACAGTGTACACATATTTAAGGAGTATTAATAAAGTGTTCTAGGTGTATACTGTTTCAAATAATAAAAGAACTATCAAGCTAATTCGATTGAATACCTTATAATTTTGTTCTACACCCACATGTATATTATTTATTCTACGCACTGACTACAGAACGAAAAAGTAGGCCATTGAACAACTATATTTATCCATTCTATGAAGAACACTGTACAGATATGAAATCCACCAATCACAGTTCATATTTGGTCACCAGGATACCATTATTTTTTTAAATTTTAAATGAGTGACAATTCTGTCATACTAATTTTCAGTATATTTTTTAGTTATTGAGATTAAATATAATTACAAATGATTATTGTGAAGAATCGATAAATAATGGCACTACACAAGATATTCTTTTATATTTTCAAATAAATCTAAAATCAGTTTATGATTATTAAAAAAACATGTGTCCTTGGTATGGAAGCAGAATATCTATGGCTTCACTTTTATGTTTGCATAAACTATTTGATAATCTTATTATTTCAATGTTCCATAATTTTATTTAACAAGATGTTTTAAAAGGATACAGAATAATTGTCCTTTTAAAATCATCTATTAACACAAGTAGGTACTATTTTTTTTTTTTGTTAGTTTTGATATAAAATTTACATAATTTTAATTTTTAGTTTGTACTAGTTTTTAGTCTTAACTTTTATAATATATTATTTAATTCATGTTACTTATTTTTTTACAAACAATTGTTGTACGACACTTTGCAAGTGTTCTAATTCTCACCTTTTTAATGCACTGATGTTTGTAATGTTTGGATATTGTGTGAATAAATTATTATTATTATTATATTAATAACATAAGTAATTCATGTGATCTCTTCTTTAATACATTAAATGAAAATGTACAGCTTGAAATTTATGATTAATTTTGTACTTGAGAGAATACTCTTTTACTAGTCATTGTGTACAGTTACATTTTGTAATGATTGTACATTGATAATGTATTTTTGTAAATTTTTTATATTATTCTGTAATGGAATAGTTGATTCTGTTGGTAAAAAAAGGCTATTATTATAAGCAATAAATATAAAAATCAAATATTTTTTTTATTTTTCCTGTTAACAAAATATGCCAATGTTTACGTTCTTAATTGAGTTACAATACCCAATAGGCCATCTTCCGAAGATTCACTGTATTTTCTAGTACAGTATGTAAAAGTTGTTAATGCCAGTGAATGAACACAACTCTTTGTCAGATTTTAAAAGATCTGAAATTGTTTTAATTTTTGGGGTATGCACTTGTAAAGTAATGTCAATACACTTGAAAAAGAGTCTTTGCAACCTCTATGTCTTGTTTGGTGTGAGTAAAATTTAAAGCATTAGCTTATTATTAAATAAAATAGTTCAAACAAAATACTTGTTAAATTTTAAAATAACATTTATTGACATGACCTGATAAACAAAACTTGACAAAACACAGACTGTCAAGTGTCAAATGTCACAACTTTTAGTTCGCAGTAGAGGGCGTATCGCTTATCTTCAGATCCCAATAACTGATTGATGGAAAATAATCGATCTTTTTCGAATAGGTAATTGAAAACAAACGATTAATAAAAAATGATTGATTAATAATAAAAAATAATCGATTGATTGAATAATCTAGAAATTAAATAATCGCTTTATTTTTATAATTGCCCATCCTAGTTTAAAGCGATACTTAGAAGTATCAAAAAAAAACATTAAATAATTATGGAAACACATTTTCTTAGTTAAAGTATGGTTTCAAGGAAAAAAAATCATCAAAGGTTTTTATACCTAGAAGTAGTTAATTTGGGAGTGGTCTTTTGTCCATAGTAAAATCCTCTGAAAATAATGTAAATCCCATCAGTGTGCAACAAGACGACGAAATTGAATCCATAATTTTTACACTTTACAAATTATACAGGGAAAACCAAAAAAGCTAATTATTTATTTTTGTACTTTTTAAAGATAAAAGTCTGCAAGTGTATAAAATCCTCATATTATGGTTTTATATCGAAAGAAAAAAATTGGTAATTACCACGATAAAATGAAAAGTGATTTTCAAAAACTTTGCCCAAGTTAGAAGATAATTAAGTCATAGTATTGGATAACGCACCCTACTATTCGAGAATAGTCAAGAAAATATCCACAACATTGAATATATTATTTCTGATTTGGATTCAAATTTCGTGAATAGCCATTTAAGTAAATTCCAATGTTATTAAAAAAATAATAACTGTAACTGCTGACTGACATTCAAGGTTTGGAAATTTTTTGATTATGCCTTAATTTAGAACACACTAATTATTTTACAATGTTAATGATTCATCGAGTTTTCTTTTTTAATTATCTTTTTTTAAAAATAAGTGAATGTCCTAAATAAAAGTACATGAGTTGGACTGAAAAATTGATTAACATTTAAAATATTCAATAATATTATTTGAAAAAGTATTGTAATATTTATTTTACAAATAATAATTATTAAGTCATTTAACATTTAAATTTTTTCACTACAAATTAATTTAATCATCCAAAATTCCAACAGTCATGAATAAATCATTGATTTGTTTTGGCTTTTAAAAGGTGTTTGCTTCTAGACACAACCACAAAATATGAAATAAACTCTAAAATTAAATATTGACAATACTGACTAAAAATATATCTACCTAACATAATATAAGTTCTATTTCAATATATGTTTACATATTTTTAATAAATATTTAAATAATTAATTAATTCTGTTGTAACTGCACTATTAAAATACAGAACAATTCATATATAAAAAATGAATCCATAGAATACATACAAAAATATAAAACAGAAAATTAATAAACCTAGGATAATTTTATTATTGTCTGCTATTTTTTTTTTCTTTTTTCATGTTTGCAACAAATTTTAAGAATTTTTTTTAATAATGTAAGGCTTATATAGGTAGGTATTTACTTGTAAATAAAATAATTTAAAATAGGTGCTTTTATATTTTTGTTTAGAAGAATTTTGGGGGATACATGAGATAAGTACCTGCCCAGGTACCTATATACATTCATCAACTTTGTCATACACTTTTAAGGTAAGTATTTGTTCAATCTATAAATAGGTATGAATCCTGAAGGTACAATGAATATTTAATTGTTTTTTTTAAAATACCTATAGGTATCAGCTAGTTTGTTTTCATTTCCTTTCAAATTATTGTAAATTAGCTAAATATGTATGAAGGTACTAGTGGAATAGGCTGCTGATTAAAATATGTTTCATAATATTTAAGACTTAAGACAGAAAAAAGTTAGGGATGGATACCTGTGATACCTATAAATACCTATATATAAATAATGTGGGACACAATCAATAAACACATGTCAGATATTTTGATTAATACTTGCCTCTAAAAATATTGCTGCTTCGTGGTAATTCATCTCCCAATGATCCATGTCCGCAAGATCATCTCTGCTAAGGCTCGATCTGCTCCCCATTTCGTCAATAGGGTCTGAAAATCGAGAAATATAAAGTTTATTATTAAAAATTGCTGAACGTGTTATTACGCAAAAACATGTTTTCTTCGTTTCAAACCACCGAAGAACTAAATCACACTTATTCATTATGAAACAGTAAAATTAAAGCAAATAAAATCTTAAAAATCTACAAATTTGAGTAAAGTAAAATAAAGGAAATGGGCTCTTAAATAGACTAGTTATAAAACTCAAGTTATAATATAAACAAAATGATTTATGTTATACCTGATAAGTCTTATCTTTAAAAAAACCTTACTTGTTGTATTTGAACCATATGACACATTGTGGATATCTTCTGTAAACCTTTTGTAACCATCATCATCAGGTGAACCTCTACTCGTGGAAGCCATTAACGAACTTGTAACTGTCAAAAATAACGCCTTGAGTTAGATCACACCTATTTGTTCCAATATGCAATACTGGTTGCATATCCAGTTTTATTTAAAATTTAAATTTTTTTGTTCACTAAAATCTGTACAACGAGACTTTTATAGATAAAATATACAAAGTTTAGTCAGAATAATTATAAGAACTCTATCGTTCCATATTTTTAAAATTTCTATATTGTTTTAAAATTAAATTCCTTACCTGAAGGAATCATATTTTGCTCTTAACTAATGTAATTAAAAACAAATCTGAACACTTTCTATTTCTATTGTGATTAAATTGAGTAAATAAGAATGCCTACTAAATTTGTTACCAATTGTTACATTACCTGTAAAATGATTAAGAAAAAACCACATTGTGTTACGCTTTCTTGCACAATATTCTTGGACTTGTAGAGTAGGTAGGTAAATTTACAGACATCGACTCGTCTAACGAATGAATCATTACTATAATCTAGTTCTATGTTATGTTCGTTATCGGCTGAAGAAATGGCGCCCTTTAACTATTTTAGATCGGTTTGGCTGTAAACAATGAAAATGAACTTTATTCCGTGCGCGAACATAAATTGAAGCGTTAAAGCCGACACAGCCTTTTGTTTAATTTTTATATTATAACGATTATAACTATCTATTAATTGTTAAACCGTTTTATCATTCATCGCGAAGGTAGGTACTTTTAAAATAATTTAATTAACATAAAGGATATCTAGTTTGGGTGTTGGTAATTTGGGTCCCGTCATAGATAAAATATGATAGGTATAAATTCGGCCTCTTGACTACCTGAACATTTCTGTTTCGTGTGAAAGTACATCTCACAAATAATTATCACCAAACTCAATAAAATTCAACAAAGTTTTAAAGTAGATATTTCTCGTTTTATGTATAACATTTTTTGAGAAGCAACCCGCGGTGGCATAAGGCCGCACAGGTTAGGTAAATTAGTTGATTTTTTTTTAATTGTTCTCATTTTATATATAATTTTTTTACGAAGCAACCCATATGATGGCTCCATGCCAAACAGATTAGGTAATTTAGTTAGGATTTTTATTTTTTCTACACGCACATGGATAACTAGCTTATCTACACATAGACTACAAAACGCAAAAGAATGCCATTGCGTTCAACTGAACGAATATATTTCATATCCATTTTAACTAGTAAGAAACTGCACAAAAATGAAATCAACCAGTTGCAGTTTATATTTTGGTCACCCTGCTACTATTATTTTTAATATTTTATAAAAGGGACAATTCTGTCAAAACTAATTAACTGTTAATACAGGGTGATTCAAAATTGAGTGCATAGGTTTTAAAGGCGTATGTATCAACCAAAAATAAGAACATTTTTTCATATAATCATGTCTTAACTTGCTTCGTTTTCTAGATACAGGGTGTCTAATTTTTTTTAAAAATCGGTTTTTTTTATCAATTACTCAAAAACCTTTCAGTCGATTTAAATAAAATTTGGTAGACTTATTTGTCGTCATAAGGGCCTTCCTTTGGCGAGTATAAAATAAATTTTTTTCTTATTTTTGGCCGGTAAATAAGCCCTTAAAATCTTTGCACTCAATTTTGAATCACCCTGTATATTTTTTAATTATTGAGATTAAATATGCGTAAAAATGAGTTATTCTTGTATAGAATCGATAAATAATAGAATTTCTATTTTTATTTCGTCCACATTTACAAATAAATCATAAATTTTAATCAACTAAATACCTATATGAAACTAATTTAATTACGAGTTTTAAAACTAAAATGGTGTTTCGATGGAGGTGATAATAGGGAGTTTGGCTTCCATGCGAGAAGCCTGGATTCAAATATGGGCTGGGGACTAATTAAAATGATTTTGATTTTTTTTTCATGTTTATTTTATTCTATAAATTATTTTAAAAATAGTTATTCTGTCTTAATAACCAAAAATAATTTTTTTAAATGTGTAGATTTTCGTTAGTGGGCTGTATAAAAAAATATATTGTGCAACTCTAGTGGAATGTCCATATAATCATCATATCAACTCTTTTCTCATTTTATGTATATTTTTGCCAAGCAACTCGCGATTATTCTAGGCCGCACATGTTAAATTAAATAATTTTTTAAAAATGTTCTCTTTTATATAACTTTTTTTGCGAAGTCTATTGAATCTAATTTATATGCAAGATGTCCCATTACTGCGTAATTGTTCAATATTTTAATTTGTATTATAGAAATAAGTTTCAAATAAAAGTTATATGGATTTAAAAAATACGTATTTAAAAAAAATGGATATACAGAGTGTTGCGTTTTTGCATGGCAAATGAAAATGTATATTTTTTAAATTGAACACCCTGTATTTTATTTCAGTTTTAGAATGCTTTAGTAATACTGTATTTAAGCCTTTAATTTTTTTAAAAATATTACAGGTTTCTCAAGCAATTAATTATTTAATGAAATCATAAAATGGTGCAGATCCCAAATTAAATTATCATAATTTAGATAGGATTACAATGATTAAAAGGTTTAAAATACATTTTTAAAGAAAAACACCCTGCAAATAGTTATACATATTTGATTGTTTTCACATCGTCAAACAATTTTAATAGACTTCATTCATTTACTTTGTTGTATATAGGATGTGCCAAATGCGAGGTTAAGATTTTCTCAATTTTTTAAATGAAATACTATGTATATAATTAATTAATATCACATTTTTGTATGTTAAAAAATGCGTAAAACAAATTTACTGAAATTTGGCAAAAGTTGTAAAAAGTACATTTTAGAGGATTACCCTACTTTCAGTAATCAAAAAAACCCAAAGAAAATTGTAGAAAAGTTAAAATCACTCTCACCCCTGATTTTTTATTAAATTTTCTTAGGAGTGGTAATACGGGTCTAAGACATTTTTAACGAGAATGCTTTTGACTGTTAGGAACTCTGTATTTTGCATAGTTTCGAAGGGAGAAAATATTTCCTCCACAGTGAATGTAGTTCTTCCGAAACCACTTATAATAACAGAAAGGAAAGATTCTCGCTATGAGATTGAATAGTATATTCTGTAACAAGGTTGGAATGAAAATTAAATAAGAGTGGAAGATTTTGAACGCGATCGTAAGCGAGAGTGAAGAAGCACGAGTATCGGATTTTCATTCCAACAGTTTAACAGACCACGGCCACAGACAGTAGTTGAATGTAGTAAAATGAAACTTTGAACAAAATTAAAATATAATATTTAATCTAACTTACGTTAGGCAAGTTTTTATTTAAATTATTTGCATACTTTTAGTTCAGTAGGAATATTTCCAAATTCCATATAAGAATCATTATATTTACTAATTTTTGAATTTAAGTTCGACACTTAACAAACGCCGCTTACCATTATTCAGGCAAATTCAAACTAAATACTAAAACGTCGCATGTAGGACTGTCAGTCATGAAATGCATGACTATCTACGATGTGGGAGTGGTATTCGCAGCTATTGGCCAGTAGCTATTACAGACCGAGCTGGGCGAGCTGTCGCCCGACATATCCTACATGCCCCCACCTTGTATCTTTTTCGTGCAACAGACGAAGCAAATGTAAAATTATTTATGGGATACCTTAAATTATAATCACGAAGTATAGATACAAGAAGTCCGAACGGTATAGGCTTTTTTGTAGGATTCATGTACACAAATATTAAACCCAGATCTTAGTTCTTTTTTCTGCCACTGGCTGCGCAAATATTCAGGACGTACCGAAAGGCAAATGAGAATTTAGGAAAAGTGGCTTTATTCAAAGCACCGAAAGTGAGTAACCTCTAAATATCCCGAATAAGGTCTATTTTAGAGAAATTATGTATAGGATGAAAATTATAGAAAAATATATTACAACTTTTATAAAAAATTAATTTATTTACATTTTGTCAAATTTCTCGAATACGGACCATTTTAGGAAAATTTTGTATAAAATAAAAATTATAGATAATAATATTGTAAGTAACTTTTATTTGAAGAATTTTCTTCTCCAAACGTAAATAAAAGATATATTTCATAAAATATAAAAATGACCACCTATAAAGTACCCTCCCAGATGTTCCGACTCTGCCTAAAATCTAATCAAAATAGTCAAAACGGATTCAGGGGACCCCAAAACTTAAAAACCCGTCGAAAACTGAAGGTCGAAAAAAAATCATGATTCTTATACTTACCTTATCTGTATACAGATAGGAAAGTAAAAAGACATTGCTTCCATCAAGGGGATTGAACTCGCGTCGCGATATGGTCGAAATGTGCAAAGTTGATAAAGTTGAGCTCTCTGTGAACTGAGCTAACAAGCTTGAGATATGAATGATCTAATCAAATATATTAACAAAACAAAATTCTAAAAATAATGTTACTTAATAATTATTTTAATAATTTGTTAAAAATAAATATCTAGAACCTAGGTATAAAAATCAGTACTCACGATTCAAATCTATTTTACTATTAATATGGAAATCAAAATAGAAATTATGCATTTGACATAGGTACCTATTTGACAGACGTACGGAAAATAGATATTCACACACGGGTGGAAAGTATATTTTTATCCACACGAGTGTGATATAGGGCACTTTCCGTAAGACTAAATAGTGCGATATGTATCACTTTCCTAAGTGGTCGTAGGAAAAATATTTTCTCACGCTAGCGCTCATGGAATGGATTTATTATAAACAACATGTAAGTACAAAAGGTTTTAGAGATACATTTTCTTCCTTAAAGTATGGCCAGATTTCCAATAGGTTCCTAGTAGTAATTCTTTTTTACTACCTTATCTTTTACTGTTTTCTGCAAGTATCTACCAGTTTTTTGGGGTAATATTAATTGAAATATAATTATTGATTCTGTTGTTTTAGCAAACAAAATGAATCCTATAAAACATCTTTTTTGATACTTATGCGTTTCTTGTTACAATTACAAACACGATCGGATTATTTTAAGAAATAGATATAAAAACTGTCTTAATTGTCGTAAGTAGTGTATAATGTGTTGCCTATATCTACGTTATTCATGAAAAATGAATTGATAATAAAAGATAAAACAAACAACAACAAACTACGTACAAATAATTTCAAAATCATTTATTAAAAAGAAATAGTATTATATTTTATATCTCATTTAATTTAAGCGAGCAACAAAGCTGTAAGTTTTCCACCCGGCGAGCGACAAAGCTGTCACTTAATGTTAGTTCGCGGAATACGTCAACTTTGCAGTTGCATTTCGAAACGCAAAAGTCTACTTTGGATAGTGATCGTAGAAAAACATATTTTTTGTTAGCATCCTGTCTATAAGCATTCTACTCGGGCAACTGATAAGAATGTACATATTTTACGAGATTCATTCATTATCATTACTATTATA